AAAAAGACGTAAACAGGGAAGTGTGTTGTCCAGCTTGGGTTAAAGGGGGATTTTGTTATGAGACCATTGTTCACTTTCTGGCAGAATACCATGGGATTTCAATGAACGTGAGGACTTTGAAGAGAAGGCTACGTCATTATGGGTTAAGAAGAAGTAACCACCTTCATTCAGAACACACGATTTCCGAAATATTTTTTTGGATTTGAATTGATTCTTGGACTGTAAACAATTTTAGAGTTTTCTAAAAAGTTATTTGCGGATCCAATAAGTTTCTTTGGATTTGCAATGTGTTTTTAGATTTACCAGACTCTTCAATAATGATTTGTACAAAAATTGCGATTTGAAATAATTTTATGGATTTGCAAAATATTTTCCGATTATTGAGAAAGTTATTTGCGGATCCACAAATTTTCTTAGGATTTGCAATAGTTTTTTAGATTTGTCAAACTTTTCGACAGTGATTTGAGAAAAACATTGCGATTTAAAATATTTTTTTTGGAGTTGCAAAATATTTTTGGATTGTCCCTCCTCGGCTTCCGTAAGAAAGTGTTCGAAAGTTATCTTTATTACTATGAAAATTTGCAGTGCCAGTAATATAATTTGTTGTTGTTGAATTGGTACCTCTTAGGGGTGGAAATGAATTTCTGACCAGGTGACACGCCCATAAAACAAGATTCTGGTACGTTCTCGAAATTTTCCGAAGGGCACCCCCGCCACTTTTATAGGGGAGTACCCCCCGGGGATACTGTGTCACGTTTCGAGTTAAATAGCTCAGTAAAATAACTTTCCAGAGGTGATAGTTTACTCGAGAATCAGAAAATCAATTAAGCAGGTTTCATTTTGGGTCAGGAAATTGAGACATTTTCTGATTTCTCTCTCACTGCATTTTTGAGTTAATGGCTACTTTGGAGATATTTTTTGCTGAAAAAAAAGCAGTTTCACGCGAAGGTCCATCTGGCGATAACGTTCAAATCCAGCTAGACATACGCCACTTGCACATCTTCCATAATGCACCTTTCTTTTGGGACGGCTGTAATACCCAGGAGAAACGAAAAACAAAGGTTATGCAAAATTTGGGGAGAAGTTAGAACAGAAGTTATCGAAGTTACGTGGACTACATGGGCAATTCCACCAGTTTTTAGTCATATCTACTTTCCTTCCGATTGCTTTCCTGTACCTTTAATTTCCCTTTGGTTTTATTCAGTGTCTTCAAGCTACGTAGGGATTTCATGAGCTGACGTATATGAAAGGGTTGGGGGTTTTGTCATTTAGGTTTTTAAAAGGACCTTAAACTCAAACATTTCGAACCAACGCACTTTAGTAGGGGCTAAAAAATAGTTTATTAAAAGCCATATAAATTGTATAAATACAGTTGAACCCCGCATTACGGCTATCTCTGTAATACGCCGTCACCTCGTTATTACGGCTACCCGGCAAAACGACCATACATTTTCTTGTAAAAAAAAACTTCCTTACTATGGTCACCCGTTAACACGGCCAAAATTTTTTGGCCCATTGGTGACCGTATTAATGGGGTTGTACTGTAGTAGGTAATGGAAGGTATACAAAAATGGATAAGGCAGTTGGTTATTCTTATACTTTAATATCCGCTGGATAGTGATTTATCGAGAAGATAGCGCTATTCAGAGTGTTTGAATAGCCAGGGCAAGGTGGGGCCTCCCCCGCATGAAGCGTTGTTGGCTAGCCTCTCCCAGGCCATTAACTACGTTGTAAGCATCTACTACATGTGTTCACCCTAGAAACTCAATACAAGCTTCTATTTTTGCCAAAGTAAGCTTTATTCTTCGGTTTAACTTTGGCTTCGTCGAAACATCTATTGATTGACTAAATTCCATGAAACGGTCTGAAATTGGCCCTACCGTGTTCCAGGCGTTTCTGTTGTCACACTATAATTGGGACCTTAAGCAAAGACGTTTTTGAGCCACGCACTTCAACCGGATGTGAGGCCTTCTCCTTTTTATATGCCTTGACGCTAACAAACTTGTATTGCTGAGTTTCTTTTCTCTTTTAAAGACGATTTACCCGAGAGTTTCAACCAAATCATTCCCCAGTGATGCAAAAAGTCCACTTCCGGTTGACGTCCGTCGCTCAAAAACGCTGTTGCTTAAGCTCCCTATTTACACGTTCGGAAGGGAAAAGGAAAGGAATATGACAACTTCGATTGAAAATATATTTTTTACGAAAGCCGAGGAGGGTCTTCCGACTTCCGACTTCAGACTTCAGATTTAAGACTTCATTCTTCAAACTTCAGACTTCAGACTTGACAAAGTTCGAACTCCGGATTTCTGATTTCTGACCGTTGAGACTCAATGCTGTATGGTTAGACTTCTGACCTCCCACCTCCCACTTCTTACTTCCCACTTCCCACTTCTGACTTTCGACTTTCGACTTCCGACTTCCGACTTCCGACTTCCGACTTCCGACTTCCGACTTCCGACTTCCGACTTCCGACTTCCGATTTCCGACTTCCGATTTCCAACTTCCTCCTTCCAACTTCCCACTTCTAACTTTCGACTTCCGACTTGACTCCTCTGTCAGGCTCGATTGCCGCTCGATCCGCCACGCGGGTATTAATGCTCAAGGTCAAGGCTCAGTAGAAAGAACGGCTGTACCGTTCTAGCCACAAAAGAGGACAACTAAAGTTGCTCTTGTAAAAGCAACTAAGCACAAAGCCAATCAGGCAACTGGTGAGGTTCGCTTGGGGAACCAAGACCATGGTCTTGCCTAGTCACAAAGTGACAACAGTGATAAGCTTATTAAAAACCTATAACCAAGGAAGGAAATACGCGCTCCAGTCAAAAGACTCACATTTTCTTTAGAAAAACACTAAGCTGGAATCTACTGAGTCACAATGCATTCTCCATAGTTGATGGAGCTTCATTTTGCGCTGCACTTCTTTCTTATCACTTTGGATCTGTAAATCACTATCCGTGATAATTTATCATCCTGCAAAGAAAACTAACGAGCTGGGCCCAGCGTGATACAGCATTGCATATTTACGGACTTAAAACAGTCACATAGTTATTCAGGTTAACCACAGTACATCGATATGTGCGCCATGACCTCTCAATGTGTAATAGGCGGCTTAACAAGAACCTTCTAGAGCATAATCTACCCAGACAGACTACGAGTAGTCCCCCATTTTTCCTCAGGGATAGTAGAGCGAGCGAAACGCGAGCGCGCGTGAAAATCACCCCACGCGAGAAAAGGCGACACGCGGCGGGGAGAGAGAAAAATGAGGGACTACAGACCCAAGCTTTTGACCCATCACGGCCAACTGATTTCGGAGTGTGAAGTTCGTATCCCCTTCCAAATCAATTAAGCGTATCCAATGGGATTCCTTCCCTCATTGAGCTGTCATTGCTCTTGTCATCGGTAAACTGCGGGGGATACTTATTGCAAGCAAAAGAAAACCCAGATACTAATTTTCTTGACGGTTGTTTCGCGTTAAGAACTTGATAGTGTAGGCAACACACGACTTTTACTCATGCCAAAATGCTGCTTGTTCCAATGAATTTTTTTTTTTTGACGGATAGATTATGCTCTGGAGGAAAACGTTTTGACTGAGCAAATGTGATTTTTGCCGCTTACACTCTTTTTTTTTTTTATAAGAATATTGTTTTCCCGGGCCAGGCTGAATATTCTTATTTTTCCGCCGATTTTAGGCTGTAAATATTCTTGCATTATTCTTAATAATAGCTCATGACATTTCCGTTTTAGAATATATTAAGGTATCAATTATAGTTTTGTTAAATATAGTTAGCTAGTTTTGCCGTTTAAAGAAAGGAATAAATTGAAAAGGTATATTTGTATTGTATTTATAGATTTTAACCACACGAAATTATATCCTTTTCAAAATCTCAGCCTTGAGTTTATTCTTAAAGTATTCTTAAGATTTCGCAAATTTCAGCCTCGATATTCTTATAAAATATATTCCTATAGAAAAAAAAGAGTGTATTTCATAATGAGAGGTCGTGACACGTATATTAATTTTCTGCGGTTATTGTTTATGGTCGGCATGATTTGCCCACTAATGCAAGAGCATTTTATTTCACTTCTTTTGAAAAGTGAAGCTCTTCAATGCGGCTAAATAAGGGTCTGGGGTTGTTTAATTTTTCCGGCGATTGCCTCCTGGATCTGAATAATTTTAAGCGATTATCTTTTTGGCCGTGAATGTGTCGGTTTCCTGTAATGTTTTGTCACACTGGGCCCAGCTCGTTAGCTTTTTTAGCAGGACGGATAGCGATATCCAAATCTCGAAGAATGGATTGCAGCTTAAACTAAAACTACATAAACTATGGAGAACTGCGATGTGACTCAGTCATGACTGCTCATGAATTTTAACTGCCGCTTGTTTTTCTGGAGATAATGTGAGTATTTGGACTGGAGTGCGTAGTTCCTCCCCAGTTCCTCCCTTGGTGATAACTTTTGACTAAGCGACTGTTCTGTTATTCAATTCCCACTTTGTGATCAGACAAGACCATGGTTTCGGTTCTCCACGCGAAGCTCATCAGTTGCTGGGTTGGCTTTCTTCTTTATAGTTGCTTCTACAAGAGCAACTCTGACTAGTTATTTGTTCTTTGCTGTTATTATTTCTGCTCTAGTTATTTGTTCTGTAAATTGAGATTATGTCGAGTGTTGATAGCGGCTGGCGCGTTTTTGACAGATGTTGACAGATTTCCATGGAAGAGCCAATCAGAGTTTTGCGTTGTGAGAGCAACGCATTAGTTCAAAAGCTTGGGCTTTGTCTGTAGTCCCTCATTTTTCTCTCTCCCCGCCGCGTGTCGCCTTTTCTCGCGTGGGTTGATTTTCACGCGCGCTCGCGTTTTGCTCGCTCTACTATCCCTGAGGAAAAATGGGGGACTACTAGTAGTCTACTACCCAGAAGAAGGGGAAAAAAAAACGTTTTTGGAACAAGCAGCATTTTGCCGCCTTTCATTGCGACGGAAGTTGGAAGTCGGAAATCAGAAGTCGGAAGTTAGAAGTCGGAAGTCGGAAGTTGGAAGTTGGAAGACTCTCTTCGGCTTTCGTAATTTTGGACAAATTCAGGTAGAAAGACAATTTTGCCCAACCTGTCACGCATTGTGTCACGAAAGTACTTGCATTACTTATCATGCATTCGCGCCTGTCACGCGGTCATGGTCGCGTCTGGCACAAATGGCGCCGGACGATGGGGATGCCCTGTTGAAAAAAGTACGAGCACAGCACAGATCAGTAAGTTTTATTACAGCATCAGAACTAGTAAACATCGACCTTGAAGATGAATCTCATCGGAACGAAGAAAGTGAGCTCAATGAAACGGTGAGAAAGCTGTTCTATAACGAACTGATGATGTTTTCAATTTTCATATAGTCCTGAATGGGAATCTTTTGTTTCCAGGAAATTTTGCTCGCTGGAATATTGGTCAACGAAGCCAGACTTGGACGAAATGGTTATTTTCAGACCTCGCCAAAGGAACTAAGGTTCAGTTGTTTTTTGAAATTCATATAAGAGAATTAATGACAGTCTTTACGGTTTACATATTTCACTGGCATGTAAGTGACTGTAGCCTAATATGATCTCGCATTAATATAAGTAGTTTTTGCAGGAGAACTGCACATGTCATCGGCTTGGCCGTGGGGTCGACCCCGGGCCAACCAGTGTGATTTTAATAAACAAAACTAGAGAAACAACCAATGTTCTTGCAGAACCGGAGAAATCCTCTCGCTATTGGACGTTGTGTTCCCTCAGCGCTCTGACTAATCCAGCTATGCCTACGGGTCAACCCTGGACATAGCTACAGTCTTGGACAAAATAAATGGAAAATTTAGACCCCCCTCTCCCAAATCAAAGATGGGAAAATAGTGCGTTTTGCCCTTTGTGTGGCTTGATTTCTGGGGGATGGGAGTTTGCTGTTCTTTTTTATTCTGTCCAAGACAGATAATCTGGACACTTTCTGGAGAGATACAACAGTGTCAGTCTGTCAATTACTGTAAGAAAAGTTGGACAGTTGACAATTTAAACTTTATTTAGTATAAAATCTTTCATTCAGGGAACCTTGTTCCTTGGAAATGCAATTGAAAAGTGCTTTCTACTTTCTTTTCCTCCAAAATATGAGGATTAAGCTTATCATAGTTAGCAACACTCATTGGCAAGGATTAGTTCTTCCTTCACCCCATCTTCATTCTGTAAAAATTGTATGAGAATTCTAAAACATGTAACATTGTTGTTACTCTTCACCCCCTACCTCCTATGCCTCACCTTCACCCCTCACCGCTACCCTCACCCCCATACCCCTTACTCTTTACTCCCTACATCCTACAAATTACCCCCTCCCCCAGTTTAGACCTGCCGAAATCATGATTGTGCTCATTCCGAAGACCCCATAGTGCAACTCATTGGATTTTGTGGATATGATGCACTCAATAATGATACGCGACGATTAACAAAAGGCTGAACAGTACCTTGACCACCCACAAACTCTGCAACACCAAGAAAAAAATGGAAAAATAGACATGTATCATTTTGTTTGCATTTCTCAACCATTGGTCATGCTTATGTTTTCTTCACTGGATTTTTTTGTAGGCTTTACAAGGTGTATAATAAGCCAGTTTTTCGTGGTATTGTGTATTTCTGTGCATGGTTACTTCTCTGTTTAGCATTCTTTGAAGACCCAGCTGTCCCTGGCATGGGGTTACCATACTGGGTAAGTCAAGATATTATTAAATCCTAAAATATAGTAGGAAAAAAGCAAAATAAGGCCAGGAACTTGGTCAATGACCTTTTTCTCTGCCTGGACAGAGAGATGGAAATGATAATGATGACGATTTAACAAGGAGCTCTATGATTGACCAATGGCAGTCCCCTTATTGTGGCAACTAAAACATGAGCAAAAATGTCATCAAATGAGGCCTTTATAATATATTTTACCTTACTTTTGCATTTAATTAAGAAACCACCCGGGAGGTTTCCATACCCCCTAGTGGAGTAACAACCTTCTCTCTCAAACTTGTTATAGTAACTTTGTCTCTTGTTTTGTTATTTATTCAGAGTAACTGCCTATAATCTTTAAAATATTAATTCCAGTGTATCTTTATTATTTATAGGCTACAATGCTGCTGGAATATTTTTGCTTGTTTGTTTTCATTCTACGTCTTTTCCATGTCTGGTGTTTTGCTGCTGGTGTAAAATTCTGGAGAGACAAGAAGAATGTTATTTTTTTATCCATCATTGTGGTAAGATTCTTACTGACCAAAAAGAAAACTTATTTCAGATAGTGCATTGATAAAGGGATTGTATGTGATCCAGGTAACAAACATGCAAAGTAATGTCAAATGGTATTTTTAAACAAAAGAAAATTATTAACTTAGTGGCACGGGTAGACACCAATACAATAGCAACCACACCAATCATTTGAAGTAGATTTCTTCATCGTTTAAATTTTTGTAGTAAGTGTTATGGTACTGTTAGTTATATAGCATAGAGGAGCCATTTTTCATGAATTTATGCCAATAAACCATTTATTGGCTTTATTATTATTTATTATCATTATGTTATAAAGATAAAAAAAGGATATAAGATGTTCTTTCTTAATTGATTTGGTAATGAGCCTGGGTTGTGTGAGCTGTTAAGAAATTTCTCTTTGCCGGTGTTAAAAAACATAGGTGTCAAAGTGTAGTGAATGAGTGTCGTGAATATTTTTTAGCGTGAGAATTAAGAGAAATTTCATATCTCCAAGTGGCCATGTAATTTTCTGTTTATTATATAAATACCAATGAAATACCAAACCATTTCACTTAAGATTTTTTTGAAGACTGTGAAAGTTGCCATTTATTATGTAGCCTAGCAATGGCAATCTTTTCATGTGTGAGATAACAAGTTATTTTTATGCATGAAGAAATCGGCTTCTTTCTGACACTTTTTTTTCTTTCAGCTCACATTTCTTGACATGATTATGTACATCATCTTCAAAGAGGCTGAACTCCCAGTTCACGCCGTAAGATGGACTCGTGTGTTTCGTCCTCTTTTTCTTGTCAATATCAGCGAGGGGAGACAGGTGAAGATTGTTATAGCCTCTTCCAGGCATTCAGATAATAGGCGGTGGTGGAAAGAAAGCAAGGAAAAATAGAGAGGGACTGGGGAGAGTGGCAAGGGAACTCTCAACCTTTCCCCCATTTTCATTTTTTCATGCCCCTTCTACTTTTTGCTGCTCCTTTCCTATAGTGTATGTAGTACTAATATTATATATTGATAGAGATTCAGGTAAGAAAAAAGATAGGTCATCACTTCAAATGGTCAGGCTTTCCATGTTGAAAATATAATAATATTAAAAATATACCTTTTTATTTCATATTTTTAAAAATAAGTACAGTCAACTCTCTCTAAGACGGACACCTTTGGAACCAGCACTAAGTGTCCATCTTACAGAGGTGTCCGTCTTATAGAGAGTCAAATAAAAGGAGAAAAGAAAGGCAGGGACCAACTCTAAGTGTCCGTTTTACAGAGGTGTCCATCTTATAAAGGTGTCCATTAAGAGAGAGTTGACTGTACGTGACTGTCTTCTGATGTTCTTGATCTCTTTCAGATTAGAAGAGCTTTTAGAAACATTAGGAAAACACTTCCAGAGATTGCAAATGTTCTTATTTTGTTACTTCTTATGATTGCATTGTTTACTTTGCTGGGATGTAAGCTGTTTGGCAAAAGGTATTTCAAATCATAGCGTTTTATATCTGTCAGCTGTTATGATTTGTATGGAGTTGGTTTTTTGTGAGAGATACAACTAGGCTCTAATTGGGCAACATTTTAGATAATTTTGTAAACAAATTGTTCTACTTAGAATGATAGATGTGTCCTTTCCCTCCATTTGTATTATTTCTCTTAAATGATAATAATAATAATACTTAAAGTAAAAAAGTCTTCTTTTAAGAGGAGACCTCCATCACTTAAAGTGGTTTTCATGGGGGTCCTATTAAAGAAAGTGCAGAAACAAATAACTAAAAAATCCTCTAGGATATAAAGTCTAAAAACAGTGAGTAGCATAAAAATTTAGAACTATGATAAAAGTATAAAAAAATTAACCTGAGACAAATCACATAAAAACTTATTCAAATTCCTTTTAAAAATCGTGTCAGACATTGGCCTTTTTAGTTCATTTGCAAGAGGGCCCAATCGTTTTTCACTCCTGGGTTCTTTTATTTTTGCCTTTGAATTTGTTTGTTTGTGTTTTTGGTTTGTTGTAGAAATCTTAAAGACATCCATGGAAAGCCATACTTTACAAACTACTTAGATGTCTTTTTTTTGTTGTATGTTCTGACAACTACAGCCAACAACCCAGATGTTATGTAAGTTTGAAATATTACTTACTAGTTACTTGTAAGTATAGGGAAATAGGCATGGAAAAAGGCGAGGGGTGGGAAGGGTGAGGTTGGAAAGAGGGGTTGGGATGGGAGGGGTGTGATATTGTAATCCATTTGCTTTGTTTACGTTCTGTACACGTATCAAAATGTTTTGCCAAAGAACGAGACCACTTTTAGTTCAAAATCATTCAACTATCTCGCAAAACAGTGCAACGTGAAACCAAAATTTATAACGCACCTTTTTCCATGCTAATGTAATCAAAAGCGCATAACATACTGTAGTTATACGTTTACCACCCTTTTATTTCAACACAAATCTTCATAGTAAAACTTGAGCACTGGAGGGCAGCCTGAGTAGTTAGCAGTTTCTTTGGCGAGAGGGAAAAAAAAATCCGTGAAAACACGCCAACACATGGGGACAAGTGTCAAGGTGTTTTCTCCCCATTCTCCTCGCGCTTTTCCGCTCATTTACGCACTCGGCAATCAAAACGCCATCTACGTAGGTGTCTACTTTCAGGTTACTGAGTAAAATGTACTGTTCCAAACTCATAAGCAATGAATTTGGAACGTGGTGTCCAGACGTTTGACAGGTGAAACAGGCCTATAAAGTTGCTACATTTTGAAATGCGAATTATAGGAGAGAGATCAAGTTTTCATAATATTTAAGGCAAAAAATATCAAACCGGTCATAAGAAAAGTCCAGTGAAAATAACTTCGTTATTTATTTATTTGAACAGGATGCCTGCATATGACAACAATCCCTGGTCCAGTTTGTTCTTTGTCATTTTCATAATTGTCTGCATGTATATATTTGTCAGCATTTTTCTGGCTGTTGTGTACAAGAACTACCGCAAGCATTTAAAGGTAGATTACCGTTAAGTTGTTCTAAATATTGTCTACTTTTCAGTTATGGTGGAGTATTATTTTCTTCCCTTCCACGCGTTTACTTCTTCAATCCCTTTTCTTTATTCGTTTAGACTCCAGAATGCCCAGTGCCATTTCAGCTACGGTACTGAAAAATAGGAAGCTTAAGCAACCATAGACTTTCTCAAAGTCCTTCGCCTCTCATTTCCGGTTCTGGTACTTTTTCCGCAGAAAACATAAAAAATCTATCGCTCGCCTTTCGCGCTCGTAAAAAAAAAATTGAGCTCGACTTGTACGCATGTTTAAAGCAACCATGAAGGCGACGGCAGCGAAAACGTCACTATTAAGAAACCTTTGCGTTTTATCAAAGTTTGTCGCGATTATTTCAGCTTTCTTGAAATGCCAAATATACTACAGGTAAATTTCGCTGAAACTGAATTCTTGGGGACCGAACCCAATAATAGAAGGAGAGATAGTGTAGACTGGGAGAAGTCTCTCTTTTTCAGATTAGTGAGGGAAGTGCACGCGCTCGTCCCCGTGGTCATTTGCGTGTCGCGCGCGTGTCGCTACACGGACTAAGAAAACACAGACACTGCTCGTAGTCTAGTGGTGGTGTGTTTGCTTCCTTCTGCTCCATAAAACGTCCCGTGAGGGAGTTTCACGTTGTAGTCATGGAGTGACGGCAAAGAATTGTATTTAATAGAGTGTGCTGCACGTGCAAAGATATGTCGCCATCGTCATTGCTAGAGCTCCCTGTTGGCTACATAGGCGGATCCACGTATTTTTGTTCGGGAGGCTCTAACTCTAACAGGCAGTGGAGAGCGGGGAAAAGGTTACAAGCGGAGCCAAAGTGCAAGAAATGTGTATTTCACGGCATGGGGCACTGGTTTCATTTGCCTACCTGCTGCGATTTTTCCAGTTTCCCTCTGACATGCATGTCAGTAATCCCCGGCAAATTTTATGGACGGTTTGCGTCGAGAATGTTAAACCCCTAAGTTATCTCGCTAGTTCCTTTGGACATAATTTTTGAAAGTATACTGCAAACCAGTTGTACGTTTCTCTGCTGGGGCCGTATGAATGACAACAGCCCTTAGGGATTGTGTTCCTCGTATGCATTACCCGAGAGAACCTCCGTGTTCGTCTGTCCATAGGTAGACGAGAAGCCGGCGTTTTCAAAAATTTTCCACTCTGGAGAGAAAAGATGTGTTTTTGGTGACAGTTTTCATCGGGTACATGTCGACCAAACCGAAGAAAAAATGTCCGTTTGTCAATAAAAACTGATATGCCCGGCGCGCGTGAGGACGGGCCTCAGTTTTTATTGAGAAAAAAGGAGTGCTGGCTGCACCAGTGTCCAGCAGGTCATTGGCTCATTTCTTCTTGGGAGAACTAAGAATTTTTCTCAATCGCCTGCTTCACTGACTAAAGCCGCTTTACGCTTGTTCTTAATTTTCAAATTCTTATCTTTTTAGAATGAAATTCGGGCATCAGTTTATCGTAAACGCCGACAGCTCAAGCAGGCATATGATATGTTAAAAGTCTGGTGTGATGAGAAATGGGTGATCACAGAGCAAAGGTGGCGAACACTCCTGCAAGAGGCTTGTCCGCAATGGAGTCCTGCAAGAGTAGCCTTGTTATGGCAAGTCCTTGACGACAATAACGATGGCAAGATAGGTATGTTGGAGTGGCGCTTTACCAAAAGGCCTACGTCGTTCCCAGAGCCTCACTGGATGGGAGGAAGAGAGTCGCTGGGAACTGGTTGTCAAGGAGCGATGTCTGTGGACTTCCTACATGTATTAGTGTAGAGCGTTTTCATTCACGTGACCAGCATCTTTGCAAATGTTTAGGAACAAAAAAATGTTTAGGAACAAAAAGATGGTTTGGAATACCAACATGGCCGCGTGTCATTGTTTTGGAACACCAATATGGCCGCCATGACGTCATGTGAAAACGCTATATATTTATTGTAAACAGTAAATTGATTTAGTATCACGCCTTGGGTAAACGTCATATTTTTTTTTAACGTTTATCGTTTGCGCTAACGTGTTTCTAAATCTCTCCTTGCGCACAAATGTGGCAAGAAGAAAGAAGTGGCGGCGAGTGAACCACTGAATGACGTTCTTACCACATTTTGACACCTTCTGTGATCTGTTTTTTTTTTACAATATCAGAAACGAAAGAAAAAAAGAAAAAGAAATACCTTTCAAGTTGATGCTTGACTGTTGCCAAATGTGTTTGAAATTTTGGCTTTTTTCACGTCCAAAAAACACTTTTTGGTTCGGCTTTTGTTCTTTTTCTTACTTTTCAAAAATTATTCCTGAATTATCGCCAGTCCTTTGCTTACAAATTCAAATATATGATAAAACAATTATTTTTCCATTTCTCGTTTTATAGGTAAAAAGGATTTCCTTATGGCGGCTGATGTTATGAATGTTAAAGTCATTGAAGTCAAAGATCAAGTCACCCTACTGGAGAGGGTCATTCCAAAAATCTATAATTCCCGTGTTAGTGCGAAGATTCGTGTTTGTATTTGCCACAAGTAAGTTGAAAACGATTGTACCGAACTGAAATGACCTATTACCTGGGTCTTTCATTTCCTATTAGTTCTAAATCTGTGTTACGGCGTTTTCAAGTGCCGGGTTATTTGTAAACATGTCAGTAGTCGAAGCTCCGTAAAGGTGATGTTACACGGGACGATTCGGAACGACGATTTTTAGTGCATCACAGCGTTGCAATGTTGGAACAATGTTGTAAATATTCGAAACAGTGTTGCAACAATATTGCAACGCTTTGTTGAGGTAAAAATAGTCGTTGTGAATCGTCTCTAGCCAGCGTAGCAAGCGTTTCCGTTTGGTTTGGGAGCAAATTAAAGAAAGACCGAGGTCGAGGAACGGGATTCTCGGCTTTGGCCGGGCGAGAAATGAAACGAGTGCCAAAACATTTTTTGCGCGGTCTTTGACTCTCGTTCTTCGTTCTTTGCTCCTAAACCGCACAGAAACGCTTGCACGCAGGCTAAATCGTCTCGTGGAACATCTCACCTTTGTTTCTCGGTCACGGTGCGCGTAAAAGGGAACTTAAGCAACCACGGGGGTGACCGCGGCAGGGAAACCTTCACTTAAAAAAAGTGCATTCGCGCTGTTTTGAACTTCATCGCTTTTATTCCACCTAGTTCATTTTGTCAAATGTTGGCGAATTTTTTGGACTTAAATTTCAGTTAATTGAGGAAAAGAAAAACAAGATCGTTATCTTGTGTTCACATACTCCACAACACTGCGTGAAATTAGAAAATTTTTGCTCGTCGTCGTGCAACGGTAGCAAAAAATACGCAATTCCAACGGTTGTTACTTTGCTAATCTAAGCCTGTTGCTATTTTGCTGTTATCGTTGCCGTCGCCTTGGTGTATCAAAAAAATGGAACAGTGGCCATGTTGGTGTACCAAGCCAATACTGTGCGAGGTGAACCCGAGTACTCACGCCAGAAGGTACCGGTGCCGGAGCACAAGGTTGAGGTCTTGTACTTGGGCAGTAAAGTGCAGGGGCGTAGCCACGCCATAGACCTGTACTCTGCCGCTTGCAATAAATTATGCGTTGTTGGGGTGAGCTGAAAAGCTTAAGAAATCAAAGTGTTGGTGAGGTCAGTGCGTACTTGTCATGCGTGCAGTTTTCAGGATATGTGGAAATGAAAGTCAGCCAGGCCTACAAATAGTCGAAAAGCAGGCTACGTCCCTCGCCCTGATGTGGGCTCTAGGGCAGTGGGTACCTGTGTGCACATGTTTGGTATCCCACTGCTGTGCATACCATACCCATGACTCCCTGCTACGATCAGTTTTCAATGTGGCGTCTGTCAGGGCGAAATGGAGAGGATATGTTCACAGTTACATATCGTGTTTCTGAGGTGTGGACACAACACTGTTTTGCGCTGGTACTAAGATGCTATTGCTAGTGAATCAAGTGTGAACAGCATCTTTAATCTTCTCAACCTCTTCCTTATAGCGCGGTGGCATGAACACCCATGCCTTATTAGTGCATACCTCTGAACTGTTTCCGCAAATTTAAGGTGTTGCATAACAAGACTGGTAGATTATGTAAAAATTAAATAAGGTAATGAATTAAATAAGGTACTTATTAAATAAGGTACTGAACACTCAACGTGATCAGTGCGTTATCTGATTAAAATGTTGACAGGTATACAATGTAGATGTTGATGTGGTTTTTCATTTCTTTCTTTTTGCTCAGGTATTTTGTGTATTTTTTTGACTTAGTAATCTTTGCCAATGCCATTTTCATCGCGCTGGAGCGAAACGATGCGGAGGTTCTGTTCCTGGTTCTATTCAATATAGAAATATTACTTAAGCTGTATACTTATGGCTTCAAGGAATTCTTCTCTCGATACTGGAACATGTTAGTATTCACTCACTTTTAATCTGTTGTTTCAACTGAATCTCCTGTGCTCAAAGTTACTAGTTTGTACTTTGTTTTTTCAGACTTCTCTTAGTCTCCTGGCCAGCAAAATACACTTTATCATTTCCTTTAATGGTCAATAGAAATTTTTAGAGTAGCGCTTTACGGCACTGGAACTGGGCAGATGTGAATTTATACCACGTGACCAAGTTTTCCCTTACATGTAACTTGTGCTTTCCTGTTCATTATTTCTACCCCCAAATTAGTACCTTCACGTTAGTTTTGTCTTTAACAGTTGTTTTGGATTGTTGTTAGTTGCACGTTTTCTCTTGAGAAATTCTCAACTTGAATCTAACGTTTGCTGCCTGCCGTAAACGTCACTCTAGAGTGACAAACACTTGAAATATAGTTAGCGATTTTATCTCCATTTTGTTAAGTTATTTAACGACTGTTCTATATTTTGTTCTTTCAGATTTGATTTTTTAGTCATAGGCAGTGCAACATTAGCCCTCATTATTGAAACTTCTTATGAATCGTGTAGGTGGATTTCATGTAACTGTGATATACTTGTAATCATTTAACACGATAACTCATTCAACTCCGTCTCAACTTACGACCTTTTGCAGCCTGTTTCACTGACCGCTTTTTCTTGCTACTTGACCCACAGTTTTGTGACTGAAAAATCTAAAATGAAAAATTACTATATTAAGACTAAAAGGGAGAAAGACAGAAAAAACAATAAGAAATAAAGAAAGTTTGATCCTCAATCTCGATATAACCATATCTTTGACTCTCTATTAGGTGGACACCACTCTAATATAAGACGGTCACTTGTACCATTTCCAACTTAGAAAGTGTTGACTGTATATATTTGTTATTTCTCTTTTAATAGTGCAATCGAGTCAAGGCGTGTTGGATTTTCTCATGGTCCTTCGAGTTCTCAGATTAGTCAAGATCATGGGTCAAATCAAACGGTTTGTCGGATTTCTTTTTAAAAATCTCCATCCGTCACATGTAGTAAATATCTGACGCGTCTCAGTAAAGTCAAATCCAACTTTTCACTTTTCAGTTCTTTTTATCCATACATGACATAAACCGTCTTGTTTTCGGAGGATACATTTTTCGTTATGCTGCTCAACGTTTTTGAGGCCACCAGGTCCAAGTACTTTGTATTTTGTCAAAAAGGAATTTCTGCAATTCTTCAAAAATCCTAACTGCCAATTTATTTTTATAATGTTCAGACTTGGGAGTAGAGCTTGCCACACAAACTCTTCTTTCTTTTTTCCAAAAAAAATTAGCCGTCTGCTAAATTTGTTCTTTTCCGTCTATTTTATGAACAAACATAAAATGCTCACTCACAGTAGACACACGGCAACTGTGTCAGTGTGATTGCACAGAAAGGAGTGCAATTACATATTCTAGTTATATTTATTGGAGAAGTTCGTTTAAAGATTCTTCCTTAAGGTTTCATTGAGTTTCAAGACACTCGAAAATAAGGAAGGTACGCTAGGGCCTGTTGCTTTCAGCTTTCCGTGTTTGGTAGCCCGGTCAAACGCTCCCATTTGTTTTTGAAATATAATCAAACCTAGCCTGCAAACATGCCCACATAGTCCTCTGAATGATGGTTTTGTCAAGGTTAGGGACAATGCTATTCTCCTGTTTTATTTTTTTAGTATTTTTTTCAAACAATAGGTGTATTTTTTACTTAACTAATAATAATGACCCGCTTGATACGGACACTTTCTATGGCCCCCTTCAAGGACCGTATAAAAAGGGTTTGACTGTATTACTTCTTCGTTTTTTCATGTCACTTTTGGCCAGATTTCAGGTCGTTGTTGGAACCGTCATGCAGATTGGCCCGGCAATGGGCACGTATGGTGCAATTATGTTCGTAAGTCTAATATCTGTGTAAATTTTCTTTAAAATTGAAACTTGGGTTGCTCGTTAAAATATGCTGCTTAATGACGTCATTTGGCCCTTTCGAATTTTCCAACAAAACATATGTTAAACTGCTACGGAGAAAGAAGGTTTTAGGCCATTCTCGTTTTACCTTTACCCGGTTCAAGTGCGCACCTTTTCACTCATTTTCTTTGTTTGCTTCCACGTGGCATGGATGCGATGACAGGTCCAAAAAATATAATTTCTCGCCGCAGAATTTGCGTGAAAACATGACCAACATGGCCGCCGTCACGTCAGCTGTAAACCAGCAATTCGCCATTTTAGAAATGAGGAGGAAACTGGTCCAAGTAAAGACTTCTGGGAACGCTATCGGAGACTGACGCACTGGTCAGCTATTGGCCATTTTTTCCTCTGTCCCCAGTAACAGTCTCAGTTGATCCTGAAGTAGCCTGCATAGCAAGCGCGGAGTTTCCGTTTGCTTTCGGAGCAAAGAAAGCCCGAGGAACGAGACTTTCGGTTTTGGCCGCACAAGACATGGGACGAGAGCCAAAAAATGAAACTGGGGGAGGAGGGGGATGGTTAGGGTTACTTGCGCTATTTTTCGCGCGGTGTTTGACTCTCGTTCCTCGTTCTTTTCTCCGAGGCCGCTCGGAAACGCTATAGGCGTGTCTCCCTCTCGCGCGCTCGTTCTTTCTTTCGCTCACTACTTCCAAGCGCCTGCTACGCAGGCTATTCATTTTCATGTTAGTGGTCGGCACCAGGCCTAGGGTTGAACCTAGCGAAATGTTTGGACCCCTTATTAAAAATTCTGGACCCGCTCCGTTCTAAAATGTATTTCGTTTATATTATTTGTAGGTCTTGTACTACATGTATGCCATTCTGGGAATGGAGTTATTCGGTGGTTTGATCAAATCGGAAAGCAGTTACCCTTCATCTGATAGCAACGGAACGAGTGAAGAAAATGAGTTCTGTGGCAATATCAAGTTAAATGGTTCCGACTTTTATGCGGATCGCTATTGTAATAACAATTTTAATGACATTCTGAGATCGTTCAAGGTTCTGTTTGATTTGATGGTCGTAAATCAATGGCACAGTATCCTTTGAATCAATTTGCTTTTGTTTATTTTAGATTAAACTTGAATTTATAGTTTGTTTCGTTATTGAATAGCGCAGCTCCAGGTACGTCGTCGCTGCTTCTGCGACGGAAATATTTAGAAAAATTTTACGAAATATTTAGAGCTTTTTTGAGAATGTTTGGAAACTTATTAAGGTGGCTGAACACAGTTTTGCGGGCGGTCAGCGGTAACTCGCGTGACAGCGAGTGTTTTAACTTAGACAAACAAACATGGCGGCGAAAAAGCAATGGTACACAGAAGACGATTTCTCAAAATCTACGCATTAAAATTTTGCGATATTTGGCAGAATTTTTACTTTTATCATATTTTAAATAATGAGAACTTTAAAACGGAATTTGAACAGACGATTTTTGTGACAAATTTAATAATTACTGTACAATTGTATTATTGATTATCTGAAAACCCCTCTGTTAAAATTTGGTCAAATAAGTCTCAAATGGTAATTATTAATTATAGTAAGCTGTGTGCAAGTTTATAGGAAAATCTAATGAGTGAATTTTCTGTAACCTATTAAGCAAAAGTGAAATTTTAAGGTAGTATTCAATCGTTCATGTTGCCATGGAAACAACGAAAATGACAAATTTTACCTGTCACTCAAAATCTTTCATCAATATATTTTCCGCTTGCCAAGTTTCAGCTTGTGAGCAGCAACCCTTCTCTTGCCATAATTTGGCAAATGACATATACTCAGAAAATGCCAAAACTGAGTTCAGCCACCTTAAGAGGGTACACCTACACCCCAGCCCCCTCCTCAGGCGCTTCGTTTTTTGCATCGTAGAGGCGAGCGCGAAACGCGAGTGACTGGTGATGCACCGCTAGGGACCGTGAGAAAGGTACAGACTGCAGGCGAAGCACGTCTCGCCCGTTGTCTCCTTCCCGCCTTCCTTTGCGCGCACATTTTCATCGAGAGAGAGACGTCTGGGTACCAGGCAGTCCACACCCACTGCCAAGCGCGGTAAACATATGTAAAGCGCGGGAAAATTTCGTTATGGTCATTTGATCTCTGTATAACCGTGTTTGTGTTCTTTAATTCCTCTGTGACTTCACCATTTTAATTATATCTTTAACATGCTTCCAGTTATAACTCAAGGTTATGTTCGTGTTACAAACAAGTTTGCGAGGATTTATTTCCTGTCATTTCATCTTTTCTGTGTTATCGTGGTTCTCAAGTGAGTACTTGTTTTAGATATAGCCGTTGCTTGTCAACGTTGTATTATAAGCCGTCAATTTTTGCCAATTACTTGATACCAACAGTTTTTGTTTTAACAGAAACGACACAAAAACCCTTTTTTGAGGTGCAACAGTTTGCATAAGCTGTTGAGGCTGCCTCCATTTACAGATAAACCTGTATTAAGCTGTCACCCCGGCGTGGGAATGGCCAAATGACCGTTTAATGCAGGTTGATGGTTATTATACAGGCTTAACAACCCTAGGAGCTTTAATAAAAAAAAATTAAGATAATAAAGCGATATATCTATCATACGACAAAATTTAATTGACTTGATAGTGTTTCTACTTCTTATGGTGTCAAAAGAAATGTAAGAGTAAGAGACCACTAAAGCCCCCCTGCAAACGGACGCAACATTGTTGGCCAACAACTCCCAGCATTGTTGGATTTTACATGTTGCGTCCGTCTGCAGACCCTGTTGCTTGTTGCTGCGTATTGTTGGGAGTTGCTGCATCCGTTTGCACACCACCACCAACACGGACACAACGACTCCCAACATTGTTGGCCCACCAATGTTGCGAGTTGTTGCACCCGTTCGCACACCACTACCAACACGGGCACAACAACTCCCAACATTGTTCGCCCACCAATGCTGGGAGTTGTTGCACCCGTTCGAACACCACTACCAACAAGGGCACAACAACTCCCAACATTGTTGGCCCACCACTCGTTGGCACCTCGGAAAAAGTGACCACAACCGCTTAATAGAGGTGACCACTTGATACAGGTCAGTTTAAAAGTAATCAAGGGAAACTATTTTGGCTGTAATTAGTTAAAAGAAACTATTTTTCTTTGATTTTCAGTATATTTGTGGCGTTCATCTTAGAAGCGTTTATGTTGGAATATTCATTCACGCACGGCAAAATAGAAACTGTGTTCAACAAAAAGATACAAGAAAAAGGCATAGGCGTGGGGATGTAAGTATTCTTTGTAATATACTATTATGTTTCACCACCCGCCACCATACCAACGTCTGTAAAATCCAGCGACTTTCGGGAGCTATATCTTCGTTCGTTTTCAAACTGAACCACTTTCAAAAGTTGGCGACTTTGCTGATTTAAAGGTCATGTTACACGAGACAATTCGCAACAACGATTTTTAGCGCAACACAGCGTTGCCACATTATCGCGACATTGTTTCGAATGGTTACAACATTGCTGCAGCATTGCAACCCTGTGGGGCGCTAAAAATCGTCTTTGCGAATCGTCCCGGGTAACAACGCCTTTTAAGGGCGTTCTTTCCAGGCGTGTTGACGGATTTTCGCTAACTGGTCCCAGCAAAAAGGTGAAAAAATAGACTGCGAGCAGCCTCTTATTTTTCTTTGCAAAGTTACTGCACGCGAAACCTAAGACATCGTGGTTTGCAATCGCACTGGATGAGATAAGAACTGGACGGATTTTAAGACAAAAGGCGGACTACAAGTAGTCTAGTGAAAAAACTGTGAAACGATCTATTGGAAGATGCGTTTGCCCCTGGTTCTGTAAAAACTGATTCAGCACGATTTAATCACCGGTTCTAGGTGCCCAGTGAAAGATAGAGCGGCGTCGATTCTTTCTCTCGACGACACCGATGAGGTGATAAAAGATCAGGGAAGCAATGGTTTTACGTCAGTAGAACACCTCGCACTGGACACCGGTTTAAGATTCAAAATGCCGAGCCAGCAGAAGAAAAATGCCGACCTTCTTCTACAGGAGATGTTTGAGGATGAGCTGGAGGAAGATGATATCGGACCAAAAGATGTGGAAGACTTAGATGAGCTTGATGAATCGGAAGATATCATAGAGGCACAATCCAAGAGGAGACTCACCTTTCAAACAGTTGACGCAGAGTAAACAATGAGCCATTTCCGAGTTCGAAAAACTCTCACTTTCAAGGCGAGGCTAAGTTCAAAAGCTTTTATTTATGAAATTGGGAAATGGCTAGATTATATAGCTCAAAAGGAGGTTTGTGAGCCCGCGAGACTGAGCACCCTCACTCAAACCTTTTGTTCACTAAAACCGCTGGCCGCCGCCACCTCCTTTTGAGCTATGGAATCAAGTCTCTACCGTGAAAATGAGTTTTATTTGCATAAGAATAAGAAAGTATTTTCATATCAATGGCTTCGCACTTAGCCTCGCTTTGCTGGTCCTCTCCCTTGCTTTGAGAGGTTTTTCTCCGGGTACTCTGGTTTTCCCCTCTTCCCAAAAACCAACACTTCCAAATTCCAATTCGATCGGGGACGCTCGGACACGTTTAAACGAGTTCATACTTACAGTTAAAGAGGCTTAGGACAAATTGGGAATTGCCTATTGTCCTTGCTTTTTACTTAGAACAAAACCCTGCCTCGTACCCAGCAGCTTCTTAGGATTTTCTACTGTAGTCACGATGCAAGAAGCCTTCCCTTGTACCTTTGCGTTTTTGAAGATTGCTCTTCCTACATTGTTTAGCTATATTAAGAACGTTCGACAAGTGCGTCTCTTGTGTTTTCAAGGATTACTTGTTTAATTGAACGATGTCCCGGAGCCCAAACACAAATAAAACAGAAGAAACGGTGGATACCTTTCCTCTGTGTTAGGATCATTATTTTTACTTGATTTTACGCACATTTTGTATTTACGTTTCAATCGTAATTGTGCACATATTTATCCAGGTCAGTTTCCTTTACTGCTCTCATTTTAAATAAAACAGATAAAACAGAAGAAACGGCGGATGCCTTTCCTCTGTGTTAGGATCGTTTTAATTGATCTTACGCAGAGTTGTATTTACGTTTCAGTCGTTATTCTGCACATATTTATCTAGGTCAGTTTCCTTTACTTCTCTCATTTTAAATTTCGATTAGGCTGAGTGATTGTTAAGAGCATCCCAGTTATGTGTTTAACAGTCATTTTTAAGCTTGATAACTGCCCCACTGGAAGAGAAATATTTTGATAATTTTGTTTTCCTTACATTAGAGAACTAGGCTACTTGACGTGATTTTGGTAGCTAGGAAGATGATTTTCATATTTAACGTCTTTTGTAATGGAAAAAACTTATTGAGCCAAAGTATTGTTTTCAAAGTTATGTTTACAAAGTTCTAAAACATAATTATGCAGAAAACAAGAGATTTAAGTAATATTATAAAAATAATTATTTTTAACATGAAGTGTACAATTTATCATAAAGTTCATTTTACTGAAAGAAAAAATAAGGAAATAAAGTGAATTATACATGCACGACACCAGATTCTCTCAAAAAAACTGTTACTTTTAATCGAACCCCCGTAAGCAACCACCCCAGACTCGAAGATTTCTTTGTAGCTTACGGGACGTGGTCGTTTACGAGAATTCCATGGGGGACAGGGCTCTCATCCGAGAACAGGTTCCGACAGAGATTTTATTTCATGCAATTTCTAAGTTTCGTATTCGTGTAGTTCCCCGAGTTTCATATTGTTACTGAAATTTCTTCGTAAACTCTGAGTGGCGTGTTACACACAGCGAACATAGATACCACACCATGCGAAGGCTCGATTTCCGCCGTCTCCCGGCTGCGGTCTTTGCGGGCTCATTTGCCCGAACAGCGGCTGGTAACCGAGCTCTGCAAATCCTGCCAGCTACACAGCTAGTCAAGTGGTCGCTTACAAGAGATTAGAAACAATGGAAAACTGTCAAGTAAAACATGGTCGCGGTCACTTAAGAGGGGTGGTCGTTTTCCGGGGGTTCTAAATATAGATGTTGTGGTGGGAAAATTTTGGTGTTCTGAATAGGTGGTAGCTTACGAGAGGTGGTCGCACATAGAGGTTTCACTGTACTGTATTCCCCCATCCGAACCGCTGTAGCCGATGTCTTTTTACGAAAATCATTTGCGCTTCTCCCGTGCTTCTGCTTTCCGCCGTCCGTCATAATGAGAAATGCAGGGAGAAATGAAATGGAGGGAAAAACCCGAAAGGGAGAAAAACAAGGAGTGGTTACCAAGCATAATTGGTATGAGAGAAAATGGCGACGTTCTTTGCTCGGAGGACAGTTTTGTCACTCAATCTTGCAACATTTTCCAGAAAATACCGTTTGATCCCTGTCGTAAGTCGTTGTGTATGTCTTCCCTATAAATATTACCAGCTTTTTAGACAGTGTTCTTCGATAAAGGAAGGAAGTATACCTCAGAATCAAGAAGCTTCGCCAGATTTGGAGCTCAGCGATAGCTGCGTAAAGGTCAGGTTGTCTAATCTCCATGCTGTTTAACTATTATATTCTAGTTCCTCAGAGCTTTAGATAAATATAAAACGTTGAAGTGCTCTCAATTTCCAAGAAAGGGTGGTTCAACTTTATCTCCACGCTTTGCAAGCAAATATTAGGGCCATTTATACGAGGAAAAATAAGACGCGAACTCTCCGTATAAACGGCACATTTCGTCTAAAATAAGACGCGACTTAGCTAAGACGCGTCCTATTTTAGAACAGCCCTTAACACCTGTTCTTAGATAAGACGTGTCTTAGTTAAGACGAGAAAAACTTCGTACAAATGTCGGCGGGGCTAAAGTGCAGGTCACAGGCCACAGGTCAGGTCACAGGCCACAGGCCACAGGTCAGGTCACAGGTCACCCAAAAAACAATAGGACACTGGACAAAACTGTTCTGGACTGACGTTTTACTATACAAAAATAAAATAAGTCAAGGAACCTTGATGATATTTTTGTCCTTTAAACAATATTAAATTCCACACATGGAATAACATTTTCATGCTGATCATACGGCATATCAAAAGTTCGTAATGAAATCACAAAGGTGTGCAAAATCATGTGATTTGTACGAAAAACAAATCACATGTTTTTCACTGAAAACGAAGTGTTGTCGTGTTATTAGAATGTCATCTCCAAATAAACCGTGCAGCCAAGATAACTTGGAGTGAGTCATTGAAATGCAGCACTGTAATCCTTTTATACATCAGCAGTTTACAGAGTCAAAGATTCAAGTTGTAATGGCGGAATGCTCCCACCTAAAGCCCACGAGGCAAATCCAACAGAGGTTTTTCAAGCTGTTGTGCAACAGAACGTGAGGAAATGGCAAGCTCTTGGGAGAAGAGCCGAGAAATATGGTCCAGCAACTATTCGAGAGGCCCAAATAGCAGTGTCTGAAGTTCTTAACCGACTACACTTTAACACAGCAGTATTTAATGACTGGTACGAAGCGCGAGCAATAGGCCGCCATCTTCAAAAGAGATGGAAGACCGATCTAGTGGCAAGAAGAGTTTAGGACGAGGAAAGTCTGAAAAAAGTTGCCGTATTTCAGCGGTCAAATAAGTTTTAGACTGTCCTTAAGTTTTTCTTCCGTTTTCCCGTCGAATGCTTTTCAAAACATCCACAAACACGTCATGATATTCTTAACGCAACAGCCCTTCGTTTTGAGATTCGTTTTTTTTCTCAAAAAACACGTGATTTTGCGTACCTTTGTGATTTCGTTACCAACTTTGGTTACGCTGTAACGTAAGTCCTCCTTGCGTGATCAACAATGAATATATTTTCTCATGTGTGGGATTTGGTAAAGTTCAGAACAGAAAAAATATAATTGAGGTTCCTTGGCTTTGTATAATAAAATGCCAATCAAGAACAGTTTTGTCCAGTGCCCTATTGTTTTTGTGTGTGACCTGTGATCTGACCTGTGACCTGACCTGTGGCCTGTGGTCTGACCTGTGACCTGGCCTGTGGCCTGTGACCTGTAACCTGGCCTGTGGCCTGTGACCTGACCTGTGACCTGTGACCTGCACTTTAGCCCCGCCGAACTGTTCTTGTCTTAGATAAGACATTCTCGCATAAATGGTACAGTTCGCGTGTTATTTAAGACGAGCCTTATGTAAGACGCGTCTTATTTTTCCTCGTATAAATGGCCCTATTGTCTCTTCATGTCCATGAGGGAAAAAAATCTAATTGAATCTGCACATTGCTACAAGAACCTCTGTGAAAAGTTTTGCGATTTTAACATAATGAGAGTTTTTAGAATTTTTTTTAGTCGAAATTTCTTTGCCACACTTGTTCTGCTGGTCATTAAATTGACAGGCTAATATATGTTTTGACGTCATTAGACAAATTCAGGGCCTTTCATCACTTTTTGGGGACCGTCGATCTATAGAGGAAAATAAGCAAGTGTGCCAGCAAAATGATGAGTGTATTACAATGAAAAAAATAATTTCATATATATTTCAACAACAAAGAACGAAAAAACTGTAAATACTGGTCATTTCTGGAGACATCCTTTACCCATAAACAATTAATTATCGGTGGTTTTATGAATTTCTGTCAGTTTACCATAGTTTCAAGCAAGAATAAAACAGTGAAAAACTAAACAAGATTAATGTTTTTTCTTATTCCACATTTGACAATTGCCATATACTTTTGTCATGTTGTCATGTAAACCCATCATTATGCTTATGAATTCGGTAATTTTTTTCCATTTCAAAGCGACAGTCCACTAAAAGTAATGAAAACCAATTCAGGAACTCACACTAAATTTCATCTAGCTGCAATGTATCTTACTGGCATTTTTTACCTTTTAACACATAGTTCGTACAATCTTCAAAAGGTCTTGAACTTTAGTAGTCGTCTTGAAAAGTCCTTGAATTTGGTTAAAGACCTTGAAAAGTACTTGATTTCTTTATTAGGTCTTGAAAAGTCCTTGAAATTCACTACACTGTCTATGCCCGTCACAATTTTCTGTAAAATTAGATTTTTTTGCCGAGGAAAATTTGGCTCATCCTTGGTTTAAGAACCATAAAACTCAAAGGTAACGTGAAAATATTTTTGTGCACGAGCAATATATTATTTTTGTTTCTTTATTCGAATGCTATTTCTGTCCTCAGATGTAATTGCAATTGTTGTATTCAAATTCAAGCTAAAAAATTTCAGTATTGACTCTGGTTTTGACTGCAAAGCTCATGAATTTTTTGTTTGTACTGTCATTAATACATGTCTTCCTTGTAAAGCAGGTTTTCTTAATTGTTTGTTTCATTCCAGAATTCACTCAAGTTTTATACGTCTTAATATTTATTGGATGTCATCATATTACTAAATATAAATTAGTAGTTAGTTCCATTTCTAAATGAATAAATTATTTATACAGCTAACATACCATACCACAACAAAAAAATTAGACTGCATGAAAACTTTAATAGTGTCTGTACATTTCCAAGGTTATAGGTACATGTATGCAGTGAAAATATTTTAAAAAGCTGTTGTTTAGAAACCAGATTCCCCTCAGACACCCTACGTCCAAATTCTATAAATGATTCTTTAGCCTATAATATACCACTGCATAATTTGCAGTTTTGTGGAACTGAACTGAAGATGCCATTTATTGTGTTGTAGCAACTCCACAAGATATTTGCAGATGACAAAGAAAGTTTTCTTCGAGTCTCAGTGGAAGGCGGGGGCTGCTCAGGCTTTATGTACACATTTGACATCGACACTGATATCAGTGATGAAGACAGGTTTGTCTGTTTGTTTGTTTGGATTGTGCAGGTGGCTAGTGGAATCTGGCAACAGTAATACAGTCAAACCTCCATGTTCGATCACCTCCCATAAGCGACCACCTTCTCAAAACACCAAAATTTTCGCAGTCAAGGCAACCTCTCGTAAGTGACAATGACCATGACCACTTTTTAGGGTAATGGTTTGTTGTAATTTTGCTTTGTCTTGAAACTCTTGTAAGCAACAACTTGATGCATAGTCTGTTGCTGTGTGTATATTATGCTACCTTGGAGTTGACACCATGAAGGACTTTAGAGGTCCTGAGTTTCAATGGTAAATTTTATGTAAACCTTAGACAAATCTGGGTGGTGTATGGTGGCCTAGAACTGCCATAAGGAATTTTCTTGATAATTCAAGAAAATTCAACTTTTGTAATCGATTAATTTTTAGACTGTTCACAGTCCCCTATTTTTTCGTGAGATCGTTGAGATATAGCGCGTCTTTTAATGACAGCCATCTTGGTTTTCAAATGTACCGAGGAGGCGGGCGTCGGGGATTATAGCTCTAGGGGGAGGTGGGCGAGAAAAATAGAGGGACTGTAATAACATCACTGCAGTTTGCGTTCACGGAGCGCGTTGTACCAGCAACGCAGGCGTTTGATTGGTCATAAGACAATAGATGTTAATTTGCGTTGACAACGGGTTTAGTTTAAGTTGCCGACACTGACAAGTCGTCGTTTCTATAAAACGCACGCTTTCATACCATAAGGTACAACTTGCGCAAACACACGAACGATTTTTGGTATTTTGCGGATGAATCACGTAAGCCAACATGCTTTGGAAGCAGCCCGGCCGCGGGAATGTTGTAACACAGTTTCTGCCAAACGAATTGAAATTTAACGCAGCGCCGACGCAAAAAAGATGACCTGTCAGAAATGCCTGGCCTTTTATCGGGAGGTTTTAACCATTTTAGTCTATGGTCAAGTGAGCATGCTTAGCGATTCGATTAGGAAAATGTTTCTCTTGTGCCTGTTTGCCGATTTTTTTTTGTAGGAATGGCCTAGAAACATTATAAAATCACTGTTTCGAAAGGAGATATTTGTAAACACGCGTAATCGATGCTAAATGTGTCTGGCATGTTTTTCATCGCCAGCGGAGTTTCTTAATTAATGAATGGTAAAAGGCGTGAAATTCCTGTCACGCCTCCTGAACGCGAGCTGCAGTGATGTTATTACAGTCCCTCTATTTTTCTCGCTTCCTCCCAAACCGCCCCCTGCCCCCTAAGTAGTTTTGACACTCATGCAAGATGTAGCCCGAAACGCAAAGCGCTCGATCTCGACGATCTTACGGAAAAATAGAGGACTGTGAACAGTCTAATTAATTTTAAAATTACTGCATTTTTTTTCTATAAAGAAAATATTAAAGATGTATTTTTTATTTTTTAAAGACAATTTATTTTTAAAACGCTTGAATTCGTTTGACATTTGAAAGTACTACAAATTATTTTTAAAAAGATAATATCAAAAGGAGTATTTGTTTTCATATTAGAAACTGTTCATTTTTATTTTGGTTTTTGTTTTCATTTGTTTGTTTTTGTTTTGTTTTTTTTTCCCCTAAGGCGAATATTTTTTTAAGGTTCTGGAACGTTTTTTTTTTTTTTTTTTTTTTTTTCGTCTTGACAAGCCGAGAACTGCCATAACCCAAAATGCTCCTGGCACCTGATGTTATCCCATAATCCTTTTCGCTAATATCAATTATGGCGCCAAACTCTGTGATTAACATGGCGGCTGGGCGTGATAAAGATTGGCGTAACTTTCAAAAGAAAATGAAAGAGGAAAGAGTGGCAGGGAAAGAGAAGAAAGCAAAGGGGAAAGGTGCAGCAGAACTACCTGACGACACCATCACAGTTCAAAGGCTTAGTGCAGAAGTCACAGGGAAACTGCAGAAGTACTCCCGCATCGGGGCCCGTGTCTTCGTCTCTTATGAATTCGAAGAATACGCGATCGAGAATATAAAGAGTGCTTGCATGAAGCACTTCGGGATTCCTGAAGATGGCATTTTATGCTGTGATGTCCTCGCAGGCGAACAGGGGCCTTCCTGCTTCTCTGTGAAACAAATTCCCGATTTTAAAGTTATTCACGCGAGGTTCATAGAGAGGTCGGATGGCGAAGGCGAACCGGAAACCAAACGCTCAAGGCCTGTTGCACGTTCAAGCCCAGTACGAGCACCACCGCCTCGGAGGGCTACTGCTGGCGTGGAAATTGTGTCTACCAGTCATCCCTGTGGTATACGACCAGAAAAAGTATCTCCTGAAGGCAGATTCATCCTTAAGAGCCTCTCCGTCGTTGACATGTTAAAACTTGGCAACCAAATCAAGCGTACAACAACAGCCATAGAGATTTACAATGTTGACTTTCAAGCTATGGCTTGGTCAGCGTCCACAGTTCTTGTCGACTTTAACATGGAAGAGACAGCTTTTGGAGCGGGCGGATTCAGGGAAGCTTTCAAGGCCACAAGCAAACACAAAGAGTATTCGTACACTACCTGGGTTGTGAAGCACTACCTCGACAAGTGGTTGGAAGATATGAGAAGTCTTGGACAGACTCCAGAACAACACACAAAGAAATCAGTTCAACTGCACTATTTAGCTAGAAACTTTGCAGCCCAGTTACACACTGATCTTGAGAAAGAAGACAATTTAATTTTGTTTGGAGATACCTTGGCTTACAACAAAGTTATGCTTGGATATATTAGAAATAGGGATGAGTACGTTACCGTCGAAGAATTTGTTAGTGGCACGTTTGACAAGTACATCAATAATGATGGAACAATATGTGGAAAGAACAAGAACCTTACAGAAAAGGCAGAATGTTTGGCACACTATAGCTATGAGAAGTCAAAGAAGGAAATAATGGTGGTGGATATTCAAGGCTGTGGGGTGTGTTTGTTTGACCCAGAGGTTGCAAGTTCGCAAGTTGAGTCGGACAATGAGGGAAAGCTTTTTTGTGCAGGTAACCTCAGTAGCCATGCCATTGACAAATTTGTTGAGTTGCATAAGTGCAATAGCTTTTGTCAGCTATTGGATCTGTCAGTTTTGCGTTAGAAGTGTTGGACAGTGTAGGTCCATCCGAACAAATCCAGGTATTTTGGTTAAACCCATCTTATTTGTTGTGTTGGCTGTTCAAATTCAAAGTTACAGTGTTTTGTACAGTTGGAACCGTCTTGATATATTTTAACTTTGATCCAAGGCAAAGGTTTAAATAGATTTAGCCATGAAGTGGAGATTTAAATAAATTATAATTACATATTAGTTTAGTCAAATGGGAGCCCTGTTTTCATATAATTTTATATGGATATTTTGGTGTGGTATCTTCAACAGTGACTCAAAAGCAAAAACTTTCTTTAGATTACCTAGCATCAATAGTCTGATTTATTGTCATTTGTGTAATTAAATCTGATAATTCCTTGACAGAAGTTTGTCCACTCAAACTGTGATTTATGTGAAAGTTTCAGATAAATTATGTATTCTATTTCACCTGTAAAATAATATGTTATTGTTTATGTTGCTGTTATTGTACTCCAGACATTGGTACCCTCAATGGGGGGGGGGGGGTATTAGGCACGTCCTGGGGGATAGAACTGTTAGTAACTTCAAACGTGGGGGGATGATCGGCTTCTAAACAGTATCAATGCTGCAAAATAGTATCAGAA